AACAAGGAGTACATCGAAATTTCCGAAGAAGATGAAGGACGGCGGCGACAACTTGATTGCAGCTGTCAAACCCAGCGATCGGATACTGTTTCAGTGGAAAAGAACGAGAAGGAGGGGTGAAAAGACAAAATTGCCCTCGTTATTTAACCCATTAATATTTTCCGGCAACTTTTCGCCGGCAATTTAGCCGGAGTGACCAAAATTGATAAAAATTGAATAGTTAAGGTACTAAATTAACAGTTTTAAAAGTCGTCGGTTACAACTAACAAGACGCCTATAGTCACAGGACCAAAATTGAAATTTACTCAATTTTATATTATATTTTTAAAATACATTTTAACATATTCGTAGTATATGTTTAAAAATTATGCCATCTCTAATTGGGATGAGGTTCGAACCTAAGACATTTCTTATACAAATTAATCAGTAAGTTAAGAATAAATAATAAATAGTTAACGTAATATTCCGTTACTAAAATTTATACTAACGGAATATATCGTTATTTAAGTGAAGAAAATAATATAGTAGAGGGTAAATAAGGAAAATCATTAAAAACACTAAAATCAAAATAATATGAACCATTCATTTTAAGAAAACAATTACAACAACATTTTTTTGTTCTAGTTAAGGGCCTAACATTGTCTCCTATTAGATTTGTATTTGTAAATATTAATTAGGGAAAATGACCAAATAAGCCCCTAAACTTTACCTAAAAAGTCAATTAGGCTCCTAAAGTCCAAAAATCAGTAAATGACTTGGTATTACAAGTTATTAGCTTTTCGATGTCAATTTTTTCATCTCCGGCGACAATTGACCGTCGTCGATCGCCGTCTACCGGCATAAGGGTAACCAACTGGTCTCCTTCTCTGCTATACGACGACCGGCGATGGTTCAATACACTATTAGTTTGTTAATACAAAAAATTAACAAACTATTAGTTTCTAATAGTGTAGTTTGAACCATAAAATTGATGATGTGGCCCATAAAACTGAAACCACTTAATTGGTCACACATATAATTTAGAGTTAGTTTCCAAAATGGTCATCCGACTATATCTTTTTCTTAAATTGGTCCCTTGACTTTTAATTTCTCCAAAGTGGCCTTCCGACTTTTGAATTTTAAGCTAAAATAGTTCTCTACTAGCTTTGGCGTTAAGTTGGTGTTAAAATGAAGGGTAAAACTGGAAATTTAGGTTTTGCACTTTAATTTAAAGCAATCTAAGATTTCTTTCAGCAGTCTGTGCACATATTTATTCAAATTAAGTTTTTGCTCTCTTAAATCTGCAATCAAAATGTGGGATAATCAACTAGAAGGCCAAAAAAGTTCATCTTCAACTTCATCCACAAACTTCCCAAGGCAAAGATTTCTGGCCTTCTAGTTGATTATCCCACATTTTGATGGCAATTTATATCCTACACCACGGCGCGCGTTGCACTATTCGCCCAGATGCAAAACGACGTCGTTTTAATTATTTTTTTTTTTGAAATTTCCCGCCCCAGTGAATGGCAGTAGTTTTTTCTTTAAAAAAAAACCCGCTGTTCAAGAATGTACATAATTATATAACAAAATATACATACTCTTTTTAAAAGATAATACACATAATCTAACATAATACATAATAAACATAAACTTTTAACATAATACACATCAACTCTTAACATAATACACACAAATTTTCTGATTCGGATGTACATAATTGTATAAAAAGAATGTACATAATTGTATAAAAAATACACGTAACTGTATGAACCAATACACATAACGTTGTGAACAAATACATATAACGTTGTGAACAAATACACATAATTTCAGCAACTTTCTACCGCGCCTCCCAACACTACCCCAAAACGACGTCGTTTTGGGAGGCGTGCGGCGCACAGTGCTATGTGCGCCGTGGTGTAGGATATAACGATTGCATTTTGATTGCAGATTTAAGAGAGCAAAAACATAATTGAAAACATATGTGCGCAGATTGATAAAACGAATTACATATTGGTTTAAATTGGAGTGCAAAACCTAAATTTCTAACTTTACCCTTCATTTTAACACCAACTTAACGCCAAAGTTAATGGAAGACCATTTTGGCTTAAAATTGAAAAGTCAGAGGACCACTTTGGGAAACTTAAAAGTCAATGGACTAATTTGAGAAAAGGTAATAGTCGGGGGACCATTTTGGAAATTAACTCTATAATTTATAAAACATTCAACCATTACACTACACTAAGCTCTATTTGGCATAGCTTATTTAGGAGCTTATAGCTTATTTTAAGCTACTAATAAGCTATAAGCGCTTGGTAATGTTCCCAAAATAAGCTAGTAGATTAAAATAAGAGCTTATTTTAAAAAGAGTAAATATCCAAAATGATCCCTCGACTATAGCTAAATTTACAAATGGGTCCTCAACTTTTGATTTCAACCAATTAAATCCTTAACTTTCAAATTTTAACACAATTTCGTCCTCGGTTAATTCCACAGTCAACTGACCGTGAAACTTAAGGACAGATTCGTAATTTCACATTCTTCCCTTTAATTCCGCCGTGTCCGAGGGCTTGGCAATAAGTGAACTCATCGGAAAACTCGGCAACATTTGCAACTCTCCACGCGGTCCTTCATCACCGCTACCTCCACCGTAACATGCTCTTATTCTGGGAACAGTGATGCTAACATTAATGTTCACAGTGCTAACAATTCGTGCTACAACACGCCTCTAAGCTCTCCTCCCAAGCTATGGTTGCCCAGTTTAGGGAACCGCCCACCCGCCTCCTCTGCCAGCTGAACCCGACTTTACCGAGAGAGCCAGCAAGTTTTCTTGTTTCAGTTGCCTAGGGTTTTGAGTAGCCCTGCTCTTAAGCAAGCTGGATCCCCGGTGCAAAACATGAATTCCGGTCTATCCCGTGCGAAATTGAAGCCCACAAACCCATTGCCTCTGATTTCGGGCTCTGATCACAAGCTGGGTGGCTCCAATTCTAACGAGGTATCCTTTGTTTCCGAGCAAGTGCCCAGTAGCGGGTCGAAAAGCCCTAATGACTTGACATGGAAAGCGCCTTCAAGAGGGAAAGCTAAGGAAGATAAGGTATCAACAATTGGGACTCGGATTTCGTCTTCGGAGGCAAACTTCGTGAGGCAAATGGCGCATTCAAAAATGGAAATCATGTAAAATTAAAGCTGAAAATATACCTTTTGGATTTCAATTTCCAAAAAATTGCTTTTGCTCTGATCACTTCACTACTGCTCTACCCAATTCCATCCAAAAAGCTAATTTCCACCCCAATTTTTCATCAAATTATCCACACTATCATTCAATATTTCATGAAATTCAACCTTCACCACCGTTTATACCCATTTACAGTAAATACCCAAAATGGCTCTCGTAGAGATCCGGCGGATCCAGGCGTAGCGAGCGACTACGGCGAGACCGATGATGCAAATTAGGGCGCAGAGAAGCGCGACGAAGATGACAACGAAGTCGCAATTGAAGCCTCCGATTCGAGATTAATTGTTAGGCGGCAGAGTAGATGAAGGTTGATTTGACGATTTTACAATGCCATGTGGAAGAGGGCGGCGTCGTGGTAGAGGAATGTTGGAATGATCAGTCATGTGGAAGAGGACGGCCTCGCTGTGGGAGCGGAGCGGAAATGAAGTGCAAAGGCGAAAACTATGTGAATTTGCCTCTCTGTCCTCGGATATCACGACAAGTAGACGACCACACTAACAGATGACGAAATTGTGTCAAAATTGGAAAATTAAGGACTTAATTGGTTGAAATTAAAAGTCGAAGACTAATTTGTGAATTTAGTTATAGTCGAGGGACCATTTTGGATATTTACTCTTTTAAAAAGGTAGCGTATCAAAAATAAGCTATGAGCTTCCTAAATTTTTTTTTCCATATTTATCCTTATTATTTTAAATAAATGACATATTTTATTTTTCCCAATTAAAACTCTTTTGGCATTTTTCTCTTTTCCTATATTTTCATTCATCTTCTTTCGCAACTCTTCACCGCCCTACAACTTCTTAAAATTCTAATTCCAATCGTCCGTTCATAAATAAATGACGTCCTTTACCCTTACCAATTAAAAACTTTTTTTCTTTTATTTTAATTTAATATATATCTCATATATATTATAAAAACAAATTTTTTTTTTATAAATTAAATATATCTCATATATTTAATAATATAAAAATAATATAATCATCACATTATTTAAATTTTATGAAAAAATTTCCTTTTTAATCTTTTTACATTTATCAGCTTATCAAAAAGTTAATTTTACCAAACACTTTTAAGCATAATCAGCTAGTTAACAGCTCTTCAGTTTTCAACTTTTAGCTTATAGCTTTTTCAGCTTTCAGCTACCTTTTCAGCTAGGTTTGCCAAACATAGCCTATTAGTTTGTTAATAAAATTATTATTTTATTTAATACAAACATTAAAAAATTTCTAAAAATAAATTTCTAAAATTACAGTCTTTTAGTAAAAAGCATTTTCTTTCAAAAGTTAGTATTCTTACTTGACATAAATAAATAGATAATAGTAACTTTGGAAATAAATATTTTTAAAATTAAATCCTTTTACTCCTAAAAAACATATTTCTTTTCAAAGTTGTTACTAAGGCTATTTTCAGTTAATTATTGAAATGGTCCCTTGACTATAGTAAAATTACCAATTTGGTCTTTGACTATTTTTTTGATCAATTAAGTCCATCAACTTTAAAAATTTTAATCAATCTGGTCCTCTGTTTGTTTTGCCGTTAGAGATCCGTTAACTTAGGACCAAATTAGTAATTTCGCTATAGTTAAGGGACCATTTCAGTAATTAACTTTAGGGATGGGCAATTCGATTCAGTTTTCCTGAGCCGAACCGTACCAAACTAGTTCGGTTCGGTAATATACTGAACCAAATTGAATTATTCGGTAAAAAAAAAAACCGAACAAAACCGAATATCGTTTGTTTTTTTTTTTAATATGATAATAATAATACTCCATAATAATAATGATAAGTGTTTATTATCGAAATGGTCCCTCGACTATTGCGAAATTACTATTTGGTCCTCGACAATTTTTCGTGCCTAATTAAGTCTCTCAACTTTGAAAATGTTAATCATTTTGGTCATCCGTTAGTTTAGGTGTTAGAAGTCTCTTAAATTAGAGAGCATTGATGGAATTTCACATGTGAAGACCCATTTCCTATATTATTTAATTAATTAACCCATTTCAATTTGAGAAGACCCATTTCCTTCTCATTGAACTCCCGGCGCATCAATACCTCTGGCGCCGCCTAGTATGGCGTGTTGACCACCGTTGACATCCGGCTGCCGTAGCACCCTCCGAACCACTCTCTGACCCGAAGTCGGCGAGTTTGAGGTCTCCCTGTGCATGCTTCATGTCCCGATGTGCGACGCCGGCGCAGTGGCAGAAGCTGATCGCGGACATTAGCTGCCGGAAAATAGAGGCGGCTGCAGGCTCCGATAGCTGCCCCTGCGACACCCCCTCGTAGAGGTCACCGCCGTCGCAGAGCTCGGTGACCTTGAACACCGAAGATCAATCTGAGTGTTTTGCTATTTATTGGGCATTAGGGTTTGTCAAGCTATTTTGCTCAGGTGTTGGAATTTTACGTTTTGCTTTAGGGTGTTGAAGAAGTTTAGAGAATTTAGTGTATGGATAATGATAAATCTTCCTACCCGAAGGGTCGCCTGGCCTAGAGAAAGTGTTCTTCTGGAAACTAAATTCAAATGCTCTTCCTACCTACTGTATGTTGAGAACAAAATAGGTCCAAATTCCTACTGTCTATCGACTTTGCAACCTTGAGGATGAATCCAGTTTCGACCTATTTGTGTTTTTTGTAGCTTTGCTAGATCTTGTTGGGACAATCTTAGTGGTATTAACTATGCAAATTTCACTTCATTCCAGGAATGGTCTAATTACTGTTTTAAGACTCTGGAGGATGGAGAGCTCTGCAATCTCATTATGGACAATTATCATGGTATGCCCCAAATATAAATATGAACTAGTTACCATGATAAAAACATCCCAGGTGAGAAGTGTGGACAAATCCCAATACCATTCATCTAGTATATCTATCTAATGTAGGGTCGAGCTATCAACTCTCAATTGTTCGGTTTTTTTCCTCTCTCTGTTTATAAACGCATATTTAACATGTGAATTTAGTTGGTCACTCTGAGAAATACCTCCTTCGGGGTTCAAGTACATAACCTTCCTAGAGGATTTATGTCAGAAAAAGTTGCAAAAGCCATTGGAAATTTCGTCGGCGTTTTCGAGCAAGCAGACCGGCGAATTTGTTAATACCAGAAACGTATATTGGAGCTCTTCCGGGACCAGAGTGAAAAATGCCAGTTCTGAATTGTTTGGAGAGTCGTATCACTGATGATCAGAATGCACACCTGCTTCGGGATATAAAAGCGGATGAGATAAAGGAGGTCGTCTTTGCTATGCACCCTGACAAATCCCCTAGGCTAGACGGATGAGAACTGATTGTATTATATTTTCTGAACTTGATTACAATGAGATAAGATGATGTGAATATATAGAGTAGAGAGTCACAATGTGAAAATGATAAGAAGTAGAGAGTCACAGTGTGACAAGGATAAGAAGTTCTAAATAGACTCATATACATGGAGTCCTAATACTCCCCCTCAAGCACAGTGTATACTAGTAACCTGTAGCTTGTCCCTTAAGGAAGAAAATCTAGGTCCAGGCAGAGCCTTGGTGAAGATATCAGCAAGTTGATCCTTTGTGGAGATGAAGTTGACTTGGATATCGCCCGAAGCTACTCGATCACGAACAAAATGATAATCAATCTCCACATGCTTGGTGCGCACATGAAAGATTGGATTGGCACTCATATATGTAGCTCCTAGATTATCACACCATAATTTTGGAATGGAAATACCCGGAATCTGTATCTCACGCAGTAATGACATAATCCATAGAACCTCAGCACAGACATCTGCAAGAACTTTGTATTCAGCCTCAATGGATGACTTGGCAACAGTTCTCTGTTTCTTGCAAACCCATGATATAAGATTACTCCCCAAGAAAACAGGAAAACCACCCGTGGATTTTCGATCGTCAGGACAACCAGCCCAATCAGAATCAGAGAAAGCATGAATGTCTCTAGATGAGCACCGTCGTATGCGTAAACCATGATCAACTGTTCCCTTAACATACCTGAGTACCCGTTTGAGCTGCTCCCAGTGTGATATGGTGGGAGCATGCATATGCTGGCATAACTGATTAACTGCAAAGGATAGGTCAGGTCGTGTGACAGTGAGATATTGCAGTGCTCCAGCTAGACTCCTGTACTGTGTGGGATCATCATATAGATCTGAATTGAAGGGGACAGTTTTCGAGACAGAGATAGGTGTAGAAAGGGGTTTGCATTTAGACATTCCAGCCCGTTTTAAAATATCATTCATATACCGTTGTTGAGATGAAATAATCCCATTGTCACTCTTAACTGTTTCAATACCCAGAAAGAAATTTGGTTCACCAAGATCTCTGATTTTGAATGTAGCAGACAGTTTGGACAAGAGCTAAGACATAATACCCTGATCACTTCCCATTACAAGAATGTCATCCACGTACACCAATAGATAAACCAAAGTAGAGTCTTAGAGTAATAGAACAGAGAGACATCTATCTTGGATGCTTGAAAGCCAACCGATAGTAATAACGTATGTAGTCGATTAAACCAAGCTCTGGGAGCTTGTTTTAACCCATACAGAGATCTTTTTAACAAACAAACATGATTCGGGAAGTTAGTATCAATATAACCAGGGGGTTGCTTCATATAAACTGTTTCAGCCAGATTACCATTCAGAAAAGCATTATGAACATCTAGTTGTTTGATAGACCACCCAGATGATAAAGCTAGAGATAGAAGGAGTCTTACAGTCGTAGGCTTTACCACTGGACTAAAAGTGTCGAAGAAGTCCTGACCTGGAACCTGATTAAAACCTTTCGCAACCAGCCTGGCTTTATGCCTTTCAATAGCACCATCAGCCTTTCTCTTCGTACGAAACACCCATTTACAGCCAATAATATTCATACCTGCAGTGGGTGGAACTAGAGACCATGTGTGGTTATGCAGGAGAGCATTGAATTCTTGGTCCATGGCTTCACGCCACTCAGGATATTTGACAGCTTGAGAGTGACATGTGGGTTCCGTGGGATGCACCTAAGCTGCTAGAGCAAAAAGAGGAGCATCTGCGTTGCTGCGAGTGGCCATAGAGTGAGTATGGACATTGGGCCTGATGGACTGCCCACGTGGACGGCCTCGCCTGCGAGCAACAGGCTCCACAGGATCACCCGACGAGGCAGCCTGTCCGGGATCCACAGCTGGTTCGAATGAAGCAGGTAGTGGCGGTTCTGGCAGCTCATCATTGGACACGACAGGAATAGGTGTGCTGTGACTGAGAACAGATTCCGCCCAAGGTCCAGAAAACAGAGTAGATAGATCCTGCAAAGAAGTTTTAGTAGCAAAGGGGAAAACTTCTTCATCAAATCTGACATGCCTGCATGTGTAAATCTTATTAGTATGTAAGTCCATGCATCTGTACCCCCTAAAGGACTCAGGATAACCTAGGAAGACACATGGAGAAGACCTGTATGGCATCTTATGACGATTATATGGTCGAAGATGAGGGTAGCATAAACACCCAAAGACACGAAGAAAAAGATAGGAAGGAGGGGATTTATGTAACAGGAGATGAGGACTGGAGTTATTTAATACAGAAGATGGCATTTTGTTAATTAAATAGACAGCAGTCTCAAAGGCAAAATCCCAAAATTTCAAAGGAACAGAGGCATGAGCTAGAAGAGCCAGACCAGTTTCAACAATGTGATGATGTTTTCGTTCAACACGACCATTTTGTTCATGTGTATAGGCACAGGATTGTCTATGTTGAATTCCTAATTGAACAAATGAAGAATGCAACTTTTTGTACTCAGCACCTAAATCAGACTGAATGGCCTTTATTTTGCAATTAAAGGACCGTTCAACAAGAGTACGAAATTTATCAAAGATGACATAAAGATCAGACTTTAATTTCATAGGGAAGAACCATGTATAACGGGAATAGTCATCCACAAAGATCACAAAATAATGGAAGCCAGAAGTAGATAAAGTGGGCGCATGACCCCAAATGTCTGTGTAAATAAGATCTAGGACTTGAGAACTAGAGGAAGCAACACGAGGGAGGGGAAAACGAGCAGATTTGCCTAATTGACACGCATTGCATAAAGAATTATGACAACGAATATTATCACGAGACCCACTAACCAAACAAGAACGAAGTATATGGCTAAGAACACGGTTATGAGGATGACCCAGACGATTGTGCCAAGTGGAAGCCGAGGCACGAGCGGAAATAAACGCTGACGGAGACAAACTAGGTAATGAAAGTGTGTATAGTCCCCCCGAGCTATTGCCCCGAAGAAGTATTTCCTTGGTATTGATATCTTTCACAACAAAAAAGGAGGGGTGAAACTCAAAAAAGACTTTATTATCGGATGCAAACTTCTGAACAGATAATAAAGAATTAGACAAACGTGGAACGTGAAGTATATCAGACAATGTAAATGATCTAGAAGGGATATTAAAAGAGGCATGGCCAACATGACTAATAGATAAACCCATACCGTCACTGACACGTAAAGTGTCATTACCAGTGTACTTCTCCGATGTAGAAAGGGCAACGATGTTTGGAGTTGCATGATTTGTGGCTCCAGTGTCCGGAACCCAAGTATGAGAATTTGACGAGGTTTTAGCAACTAAACCATTCTGAAACACCAAATTAGCCTGAGAACCCGGAGCCCCTGAATATCGCCGAAAACAGTTGACTCCCGTGTGACCGAAACTTTTGCAAATTTGACACGGATCATTATAGCGCCAAAAACAATTGGCTCCCGTGTGACCAAAACGTTAACAAATTTGACATGGATCATCATAGTGCCAAAAACAATTGACTCCCGTGTGACCAAAACGTTTACAAATTTGACACGGATCATCATAGCGCCAAAAACAATTGACTCCTGTGTGGCCGAAACCTTTACAGATTTGACACGGATCATCGCAGCGCTGCATCTTCTTGATTTTATGAATCACAAAACCCTAGCTAA